GGGGGGGGACATGGGGACAGTTGCTGTATTTCAGAGCTCCCACGGGCTTGAGCTTGGGGGTGTGTTCTGAATGTTTACAGGGCAACACACAGAAATAAATACTAATCAGCCAGTGGAGCCCACAGTAAATACTGACATGATCACTCTCCTCTGTTCTTAATTGCTGAACTGCTTAATGTCTCAGGCTAATTATAGATTGAGCTACAGATGTGGAAAGACTATAATTCCGGCCCAGTAGGACGGCACTCCTGAAGGTGCACATATTCTAGACCAGGCCCCTCTGAACCTCCAGGTTGGGACTGTGAGTTCTTCCAGGCAATCACAATACGGAGGCTTCTGCTTTCCCATGGGGAACAAAGGAGTTAGGGTGCAGGCTGGGAGGGTTTGGACATTCAAAAGCATTTCTAGTTATTGTATTTTCTGCTATTAAGCCATATCATCCGGCCAAGAGGCTGGTGAAGATGGACCATCAATGTCAATAACAGAGAAAATACATCAAGTGAACCCTAAAGTGGCGGATTCTCTATGGAGGGCCCTGGGAGTGTAGAGGTTCTTCTGGATTGAGTCTGCGTGAGGAAACGCAGCATCCTCTCAGCAAGGACTTCCCTTCTGTGTATATTAGTCTTCGCCTCCTCTTGATTTAATCCGAACACAGTGCGAAACATGCTAAGGCAGATCACAAACTCAAAGGTCACCTGTAAAAAGCAATAAGGCTCTAGGACCTCCGGGGTTTTAGCCATGTAGGATTCTGCTCCGTTCATCAAAGAGACGCCAGGAGAGGATGGTGTGAGGTTATGCGGGAGCGTCCTTCAGGGGAAAAATGGGGCTCCTAAGAAATCCTTAATAGAGGACCTTTAAAAGAAGCAATAATTTGATATAATTTAAAAAAATTAGAAACGGCCACTTGAAAAGTGGGGAACATTGAGCTGTATTCAATAAAATATTCTTGAATTCTCTCTATAACCCTATAAGATGAAAAAGAGATGGGTAAAGAAAAAGAGAGATAAAATCTCAATGTGTCATAGCCCCAAGAGGCAAAGAATCAACAAAAATGCATGTGTCACATATATAGATCTATTTACTAATATGGTTTTTTGGAGAAAAAGTGATACCACCTTTACGATTAAAATTCAGGTTAAATATTGTCAGAATTTGTCATAACAATATCATAATGCTTACCGAGACTTTTTTTCACTTGAGATCAAATGTTAGACTACATATTTTAATATATGTGAGGAACACAGATAAAGAATTTAAGCCCAATAAAGAGAATCCCTGTATCTTCTGCACAATTCTCTTTCCCCATTTTTAATTGTAAGGCGATTCTTCAGCTCTTGTCTTGGCAGCAGCAGTATGTCTGTCTCCAATGTCATCCGATCCGCAATGGAACTGTCTGCCGTGAAACAACATCCGTAGAATCTGTCACCAGATATTCCAATTCCCTATGGTTATCCCTAGTGTCTCATACCCAGGAGGAAGCGTTCGTTAGTTGCACCATCACTGCTCTCGAGAGGATGTGTGAAAACCCGTATAGAAGCTTTCTTCTTGGAAGTTGTGGCCCCAGTTGCTGAGTTTTCTTCAGCTGTGTTAACTGTTACCTCTTCACTGGGCCCGGTTACGGCAGAATTAGGAACAACATCCCAAGTATTCAAATCGACGGTGAAATCTCCCGTAGGGAATAGGGGAGGTAGTGGCCTTCGAGTGTATTCACAGAATTTCACGGGAGTGCAACAGTTTAGCTCGTTCACACAGAGAAGACTGTACCTTTCGGTATGTAAACCTCATATTCTGTGGCATCCTACAGTGTCCTTCCAGCCAGCCTGTGGCTCTGCCCTCCCACTCCTAGCTGTTTATCCGGGAGAAATAAAGCATACGTCCGCACAAGGGCTTGCACACAAGTGATCCGCGGCAGACTTAGTTCTGGAAGCTGGAAGCCCCAGATCAAGGCCTGGGAGGCTGGGTTTATAGCGAGAGCTCTCTCCCTCGGATTGTTGATGGTGGTCTGCTCGCTGGGTCGTCACATGGTGGAGAAAGAGAGCTTGTGACCTCACCTAGACTTTTTAAACCTAAGATTCCTCAAAAACTCCTCTTTTCCTCATTTTAATAATGATGATTTCTGCTTTGAAAAAAATGAGTTCAGAGTTTTCTTTTGTGAAGGTAAAAGTGTACATTCATGGAGCAACATTTTTGTTCCATGGTCAGTTAAAAGGCTGATGAAACCTTTATAAAGCTACACTGTGATTTTTTTCTGTTCAGGATACCATTAAGATTAAGTTACAGTTGCAGGTTTATTGCCCCACTGCTTCCAGATCATGTGTCTAGTGGCCAAACACATGAAACCTTTTTGCCCCAGAACAAGTAAAGAAAATCAGAAGGGAGAAGTGCTCCAAAGTACCCAGGGTTTTCATGGCTAGTGTAAAAACCCATTTGTTCATTCATTCATTCATTCATTCATTCATTCATTCAATATATATTGTGTCCTGGTACTTTCTAAGCACCATATCAGACACTGGGATACAATGAATTAGTAGGATGGACAGTCTGCCCTGGCAGAGTTTGCAGGGAGGAAGGAGGGAAAAGGGAAACTGTGGAGGGTCTGAGAAGAGTAATCTACCTTGGGGGAGGTCTGTCCTCCCCATTGATTCCAGTCTCCTGCAGAAGTGAAATGTTTCCATGAGTCTCCCACCCCCTTATTCGCGGCTTCTCACCCACTGCAGCTGCATATTGTCCATTATAACTCGGACCTGTACCCCAATGCCAGCATCGCCAGCAACAAGTCAGAAGGCCTCGCCGTCCTAGCTGTCCTCATAGAGGTAAGAGATGTTAAAAGGGATTTTAACTGAAATTTGAAGCTGGGATGATATCAGACTTGGCACTTGGTTCCATGCACACCTGCCTGGTTTTATGTGTATGCTTGCTCCCATTTGGGCTGTGTTTTGCCTCCAGAGCAGGGGTGTTCCCCATAGAGTTCCTTCTCTCTTGGCCTGGAGGCAGCACTTCCTGTGGCTGGGTGGCAGAAAAGGGCGAGTCCTTTGTGACACTGGAAAAATGAGCCCTAGTCCCCAGCCCTATTGCATGAGACATGGAATTGCCCAGTTGGATAGGACATGTGTGGGGGGAGAGGGGCGCGGGAAGGTGGGAATCATTCAGTTCTGCACCATCAGATGGCTGAACCCTTGACACAGCTCCTGGCATCCAAGTTCCATCCTTTATATGAACCTTGGAATGAGTTCTTTCCTAATCCCAGAAAAGTGGGATATCTGATGCACCTGCATTATTTTTCCCTAATGAGACAGCATGTACCTTGTTTCTCAACATGCTTACTTGCCTGATGTGGCTCGCATGAGCACAGGCTCCCTTTAAGTTCTGGTTAGAAAACAAGCCTTCAGGCTCACAGCAGATAATCAGGAGCACAGGCTACTTCCCTTGCCCGGGGACACTCAAGCCCCAGTGCCTTGAGCTGGAAACGCCCTGAGCTGCAGGAGGGCAGGACAATTATAACAACCCCGTACCAAGCTAGTGACCCATCGTAATTGTCCTAGTGAAGGGCACTCTTCAGGGGGGGCCTGGCAGCAGTGACCACATACCCCAGCCAAGCCCTTCCACTAAAACTGTCAGTCCAGGCTCAGCCTATAGGATTCTGTCCCAGTTCAACCCACCCTGTCTCTGTTGCAGATGGGCTCCTTCAATCCAGCCTATGAGAAGATCTTCAGTCACCTTCAGCATGTAAAGTACAAAGGTGAGGGGTCCTGGGATGCTAATTGTTGAGGGAAGTAGTGACTCCCACGTGACCTGAAGAAAAATGAATGCTGAGGGCAGGTGTCTTCTGTGACCAGGTCCTAAAGGGGCTAGTTCACGTTCCCAGGCTCAGTCATAAGCTCAGCTGCCCCTCTGCCAGGGGTAGTGAGGCCCACACGTCCCTCGACATGTCTCTCCAGGCCAAGAAGTGCACATTCCAGGCTTCAGCATTGAAGAGCTGCTGCCCGAGAGGCCCGCCGAGTACTATCGCTACAGAGGATCCCTGACCACGCCTCCCTGCAACCCCACTGTGCTCTGGACGGTTTTCAGGAACCCCGTGCACATTTCCCGGGAGCAGGTGAGTGGCACCCATCGCCGAGTCAGAGGCCGCATGGTGTCACCCACATCACAATCAATGGCTTGCTTTCCTCACTTAGAGTTTCACTGGCGGCTATTCCAGCCTCCCCACATGTCACAGGCGCCTGGAAGCACAGCAGAAACTACGTGGGGCTAGCAAGTCAGACAGGAAAAGGAAAGTGTCTCCACAGTTCCTTAAAAAAGACTTGTTAAGTTGCATTTCCTACTATATCCCTCGGTGGGTGGTGGTCACGGGTCCTTCACAGGGCGGAATAAAGGCAGGATCAGGTGGAATCGGTTCGCAGACTGGGAGCCGGGGCCGCAGCCATGAGTGAGCGAGGGGCTCACGGGCCAGGGAGCAAGGCCGAGAACAGGAGCCTCGGCGACCACCTCTGACGCTCTTGCTGTACAGGTGATGAAAGCGAGGGTTAGGGGGTGAGGAGCCTTGCGGGATCACCGCTGCTCAGCGGCCGAGCTGAGAGCTCCAGGCCGCAGCCGACCGTCCGCAGCCTCAGCTCACCCAGGAGAGGAAGGCCCCAGGAGCCGGGGGGCTGCGCCGCACTCGGGCTCATGGCCCAGCCCCCCGCCACGCCCCCCGTGTGGCTTTTTCACTGTGTGCTCCTGATCTGGGTAACCTAGATAAAGGGCAGCAGGCGGGTGGACAGGAAAAAAGAAGACGCGCTGAATCGAGGAGAAATGTGCGGGGACACAGTCACATCCTAACCCCGAAGCTGCCTTGGACACATTATGTAATCCATGAGGATATATGAGAATCCCATGGACCCGGCCATCAGACGACCTGTGAAACTCTTGCCTCCTCTTTCCATTCCTTCTGATGGGACCATCAGAATAAGCCCCCAGGCCTATCTGATTTAGAGTCGGGTCCCAAATCAGGCTCTGGAGAGCAGCTGGGCCTCCGGGAGAGGCTGAGGAGCCCCTCCAGCACCCCGATCTCCCTCGCTGCACGCAGATTTCAGGCACAACCTGGAGCTAACTGCGCTAACCTTCCCCCGTCCTGGGGAGGAGGGAGGACAGATCGGCTCAGTGCCCAGTCACCCAGATGCCCGCAGGGGAGGGGAGCGTGTCTCGGGCTTTCCTGCAGCTTTCCCGCCGAGGCCCTGGGGGTGCGAGCTGGCGGCCCCTTTCTCCACTGCGCCTGCAGGGTGTGTCTCTACCCTTCTCCCCGCAGCTGCTGGCTTTGGAGACAGCTCTGTACTGCACACATGAGAACGACCCATCCCCCAGGGAAATGGTCAACAACTTCCGGCAGGTCCAGAAGTTTGACGAGAGGCTGGTGTACATCTCCTTCCAACAAGGTGAAGAGATGCGGGGGGCGTGGGGAAGTGCGGTGCCAAGACATCTGTTTAGCATGAAGTCGGGTGCCCTGCCCTCAGGCTTGGTCCCAGATGCCCTTAGGTGTGTGAAGAGCACTCTGGCTACCAAGGGAACCGGGGTACATGAGGAGCTATTGTGTGTGGGCTTCCTGAGGTCTCCCTTCACGGCTCTTGATTCTCCTGAGCCCTTGTAGGGAAGCACAAGCCAGGGCCTCCAGGCGCACGGACCGCATTGAGTCTGGGAGTCTCCCACAGATGGGGAGACAGAATGTTCTGGGGGACCTCTCTGCTCTGGAGACCTACCCCTTCTCCTAAGATGCATGATAGCACCCTTTTCATAAGATCACACCTCTACTTCCTATTCTAGGCTTTCTTAGCATCGAGGCCCGTCTCTGGCCTTACTAGGGGTTCACCACCAGCACCCTCTGTGCCCAGGGATGCTCCTCTGAGAGGAGTCACACCGTGGTCACAGCAGCTCGTGGGCTGACGCAGCAGAGCCCATCGGGCAAGACTCTGCCTTTTGTCTCATCTCCTTGACACTTGTGTAAGCGCAGGCACACGGCATCTGTATATTGAATGAAACTCATCCGTCTGCTTTATTTCTAACGCGGTGAAAGCTCAGCTCCTCCTTTAAAATCCACAACCACAGCTCCCCAGAAGGACACCTGACATCTTCACTTGCTCAGGACCGACATCATCACTGCTGGAAGCTCGGGGTCTGGGAAAAGGGGGTAAAGGAGCACTCTTGGGGCCCACACCCTTCTTCAGACCCCCAAGTTTACTTTCTTGCTGTAGATGCTTGAGCGGCTCCCAATGTGGGGGTCTCGAGTGGTCAGAAGCAGGCAGGTGTGTGGAAGTTTCACTTGCCAGAAAATCAGTTCCCTGTCTTACCAGGCACACCCTTTTTGTTTCTTTCTTATATGTGAGATTATCAATATCACCTACTAAGCTCAGCTGACATACGAAGATTGCACCTCAAAGCCGTTGTCGGAAAGCTTTAGAAACATGCCCTTGACTCACCCGTACGTACATCTGGTCACAGTTATGTCCCTCCCTGTCAGTTACCTAATCAAGAACTGCCCACGAATTTCTTTTTTGTCTTCTCCTCTCCAGATACCACTAGGTAAGGTAATTTCCCTCTTTCCCCCGATTTCCTGGTCTGAAAACTGAATCTGTGAACCATGGACCTTCCTAAAAACTGGGACTGTATGTGGTGATGACTAAGAAGGGTTCTTTCCCAGGAAATGCCTCAGATATACAGAGTTAGCCCTCTGGGCTCTACTCTGGATATAACTTTCTCTTTTCCTATTCCTCTAAATGGAGTGTGTGGTAGTCAGTGGCTAAATGGAAATACTTCAACTCTTACACAAAATAATAAACTCTGCCCACACAGATCAGGCAGGCTTTGCTTGTGATTCGAGGATAATAATTGTCTCTGTTCTCCTGGCTCTTCTATACAAGCCGCAGGGGACAGGGTGACAAATACTCCCCTAGAGTCAGGTTCAAGGCCTCGCTTTGTTTCCTCCCTACTATATGATGTGGGCAAATTATGTCCCTTCCCTGGGCCTAGTTTCCTCAGCCATAGAATAGCAGGCTGGCCGAGGTGGGCGGATGACCTTCCAGGGCTAACATGCTGATTCCAAGTGGACACTAACGACCACCCATCCTGACTTTACGTTGCAGGGACAGTGTTTGGGGGCAGTTACAGAGGATCAGAAGAAGCCATGCAGGAACTTGAGTCTGACATCCTAAAGTAACCCCCCACTTGTAACGATACCCTGTGGCATTGGGAATAATTAGCCATCTTCTTAGACCCGCTCAGAGTCTAAGTCGGCGCTTGTAGAGGGTGCGGAGCCGTCGGGTGCGGCAGAGCTTCAGTAGACTCGCCCAGTCTGGCTGAGGGAGCTTGGGGGGCCTCTAGGCAGAAACCCACAGACCGTGTCCAGGATTAGGACGATTTAGGATGTCAAAATCAAATGCAGCTTTGCCACTGCCCCCCGCCCCCTGCGCAGCTCACCCAGAGCTGCTGCTCTCATGAGCCCAGGCTGGGCCCAGCTCTCTCCTTGGAGGGAGAATCCACTGCAGTCCCAGGCAAACCTGTTCATTTGGAGAATGATTATAGAAACTTGGCCAGAACTCTCCCCTCCCTCTCACTTCCAATAGATGTGGGCAGCAAATGGGGCTATTACCCGAGGAGCAATGCAGAGGCCGCCCCAAAGGGGTAAAGCCCCAAATTTCATGCCCCCGGGGCACCTGCATACAGAGGGCCCTCTCACACCAACTTGGAGCTGCCGCAGACATGGTTGCAGGTGTGCTGGGATCCTGTGTGTCAGCGTGAGCCTGGAGCCATTTAGACTCGATTATTTGTACACCCTGCCACTGAGGCACTTTTGTAGTTAGGTGGGTTCACTCAGGGTTTTCTCAGGAAGTTATCAGGAACTGTGGAGCTGGGAAACTTCGCCAGGAGAAAAGCAACGTTAAGGAAATCCTCTGGGGATGGACTTTGAGAAAGTGCATGGACTTTGAGAGGAGGATCTGAGATTCAACCAAACTGGAACTACTGGGATGCAGTTGTTTAACTGGACCCTGCCTTTTCCTCGGCTGTGCTTGGAAAGGAAGACAGGACCTGGTTCTGTCCTCAGGTGGGGTATAGTTTAACCATGACTTAGCCCTAGGGCAGGGCTTTTCAGCCCAGGTACTGCTGACACTGGGGCTGGGTAATTCTTGTTGTGGGGACTGTCCTGTGCACTGTAGCACTAGCAGCATCCTTGGCTTCTACCCACTAGATGCCCGTAGCATCCCCCCACTGTAACAGCCCAAAATATCTGCAGACATGGCCAGATGTCTCTGGGGGAGGGGCAAAGTTGCCCATGACTGAGAACTGCTGCCCCAGGGACTGTACAATGATACTCGTAGGCCCAGACTGACTTCTTCCACTCATATCACAGGCCTCTAGAGATTTATATCACCTGCCCTGGTCTCGATTCTACTACAGCTTGATATCTCCAGTCTGGCGATGGTTACCCCTGAAACAATAAATTTGGGGTTACTAATGTCAAACAGTCAAACCCAAGATGAACTCTGGTCCCCAATTTCTTTTAGAACTTGAGTATTCTTTTTATTTTTTATTTTTTTAAAGTCTAATTTCATTTTGTTTTTTAACCCTCACCTGAGGACATTGTTTCCATGTGGAAAGGAGAGACAGAGAGAAACATCAATGTGAGAGAGACACATCAGTTGATTGCCACCAGCACACCCCGAGGTACATGCTCTTGGCCAGAACCGAACCCGGGACCCTTTAGTCTGCAGGCCTATGCTCTAACCACTGAATCGAACCGGCCAAGGCTTGAGTATTGTTTTTATATAACTAGGTATGTCCAAGGCTAAGAGAAGTGGATGAGAGAGAACTATTTACCCTTCAGATTACAAATCTCTTTACCAGGCGTCCAGACGTCTCCCAGGTGGCAAATGTCTTCAGAATCCTTTCATCATTCTCCCTCCCTTTTGTACAAGTTTTTCTTCATAAATGTTGCGATTGTTGCTTTTGGTCAAAATGCCCACTCTTTACAGAGAGGTAACAGTCATGCCTGGCAGGTTTTTCAGCTCCTACAAGGTGCCTCTTCTAAGTGTCTCAAATGGAAAACTTGAGCTGAAAGGGGGAGAAACAAGACTCACTGTCCTTAAGGTGGGATCCCCCGAGAGGGAGCACGTCCTGAGACCATTCCCGATCTCAAAGGAAGTCAGCCGCTGTACCTGAGGAAGGGGAGGACTGCAGGGGCAGTTACAGCCAGTCCAGTGGCCCAATTCTCCGTCCCTTCAAACTGACCTCTTCTTAGCCACAGACACCAACACAGGGTCCAGATGGCGATGGGCAACGAAGCTCGAGCCCACTCAACCTAAGTACCCGTGTTATCCAGCCCAATTTTCAACATGTCAGGGCAAGGGAAACTTGAGGGACAAGCGGAAGCCAAAAAGTTTCTGTAATCATGTCTTTAGTGGGCCTGCTCTGAGCAACTGCATGTCCCCAGCCGTGGAGCTGGGAGCCGGCCGAGGTGCACTTAGAAAGCACGCTGCGCAGTAGAAGGGGGGCTCACCCACAGCAAGCCTGTGGAGGAGCACAGTTAGACCCTGCTTGACACTAAGGGAACTGGGTAGTTTTAGAAAACCTTTAAAAAAATAGAGAAAAAAATCTTACAAAGCTAAGATGGCTAATTATCTGATTTTTTTGAGACTAGAATGGATGCTTTGTGGTTATTGACCTTGCGTTTCTCAAAGTTCCCATTTGTAAATAAACTCTATGAGATGGGAAAGGACCAGTCCTTCCAAAGTATCCAAATAAAAGTCCAGAGGAGTTCCTACCTTCCAATTCCCCCGGATGCAGGAGGCTGAACAGTCAGGAGTCATCATCAAACGTGCTAAGCTGTGACGTCCGAGTCCCCTCATCTAATGCAGTTTAACACGCCACGTGTTTTCTGAGCACAGCCCAGGTTAGGCACTATTGGGAACAGAAAGCCTCACCATGGGTGATGTCTTGCCCCTAACAACAAGCCTCTGGCACAGAGCAGACCGTGTTCAGGAAAGACAGTGGGCAAAGGGGTCAGGCAGAGGGCTGAACTACCTGGGCAAGGTGGCCCCGGCCGCTGTCTCCAGCACCGTCTCCCTGGCCCCCATCCACACTGCAGGGCCCCTTAACGTGCACACCATTTACTCTGCACACACCGTTTCCTTTGGGATGCCCCTCACCTCTTCCACCTGGAAAGTTCTTTCAAGACCCATTTCTAACCATATCCTCCCAAAAGCGTCCCCCACCCTCCTGAAGGCGACTTCTGGTCTCCTTCTGTGAGCAGCCGGAATAACGTGCCATCTCTGTGAAGCCGAGCGCACCACAGGGTAATAATTACCATCCAGAAAAAGAAAAAATGTCTCAATTATCCACACGCTGCAAGTGCCTGAGGGCAGAGACAATTGGCGTCTTACTCACTTTTGTGCCTGGCACTCTGCCTGGCGCTCATGGCAAGTTTGAAAGAAAGTAACTAATCCGTCTCCCTTCCCCTCCCCCTGCCAGTGGCTTCTCTGCGGAATGGTTTGAACATAAGCCCTACCAATTGTTAAATTTTAGTTTTGTCTTATTTCGCTTCGTTATCAATTTGCCGACAGCATTAGAATCAGTTCGGAACTTAGCTGCCAAGTTAAAGTCTGGGAGGAAGTCGCCTGGAGATGCTGTCAGGCTTTCCCCTGCTCTGGCCTGACGGGTGAAAGGGCCCAGTCCCACCACCCATCATTCCTTCAGCACTGACAGCCCGGCCGCCAAAGGGGGCTAAGGGTACGCAGCCCCCCAGGCTGGCACTGTGACCGCGCCTCCTGCCCCAGGATTCAGGCCTTCGGAGCAGTGTGGCTGTCTCCCGGGCCTGCATTCCTGCAACCTGGAAGGCAAAGCCCTCAGGCCCTATCATGGTCGTAGAGAACCGGTCCCCTCATATAATCTGGTGGCATCTTTTGGGCAGATTTATATGTAGAAATTATTTCTTTATTGGATTATTTCTGTACAGTGTTAAAAAGGAAAGGTCCCCAGTTAGATATGTCCTCCAAAGATGGTAATGTTCTGCAGTTATGAGGGCATCTTCCTTGCTCTTCTCACCAAAGCATCACCCAGAGGGAGGGAGAGCATGTTGCTTACTTGAGCCTACGACTTGTATTAAGCATCATGAGTTTTACCATTCAAAACTGGATCACCCAAATTCTCCCTGCCTCTTTCTACTTTCACTATGTATCATGTCACTTACCGAAACGGTCCATACTTTAAAAGAATACTTTGAAAAGGATTGTATTCCTTTTCATTCAAAAGTCTGTTTGAATAAACAGAATTGCAAATAGACCTAGAAAATGCTAGACTTGTTCCAGGAACTGCGAGCTGTGTCAATGAGGCGCTTGTTCCTCCGGCTGGACTTTTCTGTTTGCACTTGAGGCCTCAGAAGACCTCAAAAGCAGTTAAGCAGCATCCCTCGGTCCAGCAAGATGCCAGTGGAAGACGCAGCTCCAGCCAGCCGGACCAGGTAGCAATGCGCCTGTGGCCAGCAGCTTGCCCATCTCCTCCGGGGGTCTGCACCTTCCTGGGCGAGGCATGTGACAGTCAAGCTCTCCCGTATCTGTGTGGTTTCCTTCTGAGTGTTGCATCATCCTATCTCTGCTGGCCCTGACATGTACCAGAGCATTTTATGGGGAGCAGATGGCTCCCCCGTGTCTGTGCAGCGTGTAGCCTTTTACCAGCCAGCTCCTTTGCTGTGGCTCACCCACTGGCTCTTGGGACCGTCTCTATCAACAAGCCTGTCTCTGTTTCTCCTGTTTGTCCAGTTGATCTTCAATGGGAACTGCTTGTCTTACCGCCGTTCAGAAACAGACCATTTCTGTTTAATCTGCAGATGAATTTCTCTAGCTCTGTCTCCTGCACCACCTTTGATGCCTGTTTTCAACAGCACCCCAGAGGCTCTGCTCTGATTCAGGCTTTCATTTCTCTCTCTGGGCCTAGTTCTCCAGTTGCCCCAGTAGCTCCCCCTCTCCCTTTAGTTAGTAGGTGCTTTGGTGTCTGCCTGCCAGGGACCCCAGCCCCATGGGCGTCATCTGGCTCTGCAGAGAAGCCCTGCTTCCGTGATGGCTGGTGGCAGGCGATAACATCCCAACCTCTTCCTGCCCTGGGCTTCCTGCAGGGAGAATTCTTAGGGGGTGACATGTCACCACCATTCTTCTTGTGTATCAGGCTCTTTGCTGGCTCAGTCAAGCTGCTTTGTTTCAGATGCATCAACTTCGGGGCTGAAAGCATTTGTCCCCGTTTCTGGGGATGGTCTTGTCTTCTGGTTGCTGGCTCTCCTTTCACTGTTTCTAAGGAGGGGCAATGGGCCCTGACAAGTAGTTGTCCTGGAGTAAGGAGCCCGGCTAAAGCCCCGGGCTGTTGTTTATAGGGCCTGACACAGCCAAGGGCACTGCTCAGTGAACCAGGAAAGCAGCCTCTTCCTCCAGACAAGCCACCAAGCTGGGCTCTTTTGAAAAGTCCATTCCTGGAGGCCTTGATTCTGCAAACTGCTCGGCTCCCTAGACCATGGCATGGGCACCTCCTCCAGCCCGGGGTGGGGTTGCTCAGCTGTCTGCGGGCCCTGTGGCTCTCAGGATGTGTGAGGCAACTGTAAAGTGACAATGTTAGAAGCTGTCCTGTTTGGACAGCTTAGCTAAGTGGTTAGGCTTATGTGGTGAGAACTAGTTTGGTACCACAAGCATCTGGAGTTTTAAGAACAAAGAACAAAAGTTTATTTCATCAGAAGGCTTAGAAAGGAAACCATGATTAGTTAGGGGTTTTCTGGGTTGTTGTTGTTTTCAAGATCCTAGCGGCCTTGGTTGCCTCTAGGTACCTTAGAAAGAAAAAAACACCCAATACCAAATTCTAGTGTGCAGAGGCCACAGCCACGCAGGGAACAGAGCTCACGCTATACACACACTTGACACTCTCCTAGGGGAATGTCATGTCCTGAGTGTCTCTCTGAGCCACAGACAGATCCTTGTTTTCAGGGTACACGGCAATGCCTGGGGCAGGGAATCAGGCCAGAGAGCCACTCTCTCTGCCACTTGGGAGGCCCTGGGCTACTGATGGTGGCCGACAGGAGCCAAGAGACAGGTCACCCTGTCCTTTGTGGACAGCTCCTCTCCATACCTGCTCTGTTTATCCACACAACTGCCCAGGACCACCTGGGGAAGCCAAACCAGAGACCCCAGGGGCCAGCCTTGGACCAGAGAGGCTGCAGACTCAATGAGAGATTGCAGAGGAGGACAGTAGGGAAAGGACACAGGGCTGATGGCTCCAAGGGAATCAGCCAGACTCTGGCCACGCGACAGAAGGCTTGAGGCAAAAACCTCACCCTGCAGTCTCAGGTCTGGTTTCCTAGGGTGTCATGTGACCCAAGGGCATGTTCCTGGCCTTCTGCTGGCACCTCATACTTGGTCAGGGGTCACCCAGGGTCTCAGTTGCCACAGTGGGCTCTAAGGACACAGGCTGTCCTTAGTATGCGGCTGGGTGGTCACCTTCTGCACAACTCTAGCCTCCAGTGTGAACTGGAACAAGCACCCCTACACACACACACACACACACACACACACACACACACTAGAAGTTTCTACTGAAGTCAGAAAACCACCAGACAAGAGGGTATACATGTACAAGACTTTCTTTAGATGGGGGCCTGATTGGGAGAATGGGGAGTAGTTCTAAGAATCTGGAAGAAACAGGGTGGGCCACCCAGGGGGTGACTGGGCTTCTGTGTCTTACTGAAGAAGACAGAGTCACCCATGACCCTCCCCCAGAGTGGTCCTAATAAACTGGGATTTCTCCTTGGATAGCTGGGCACTATTTCAGCCGCACTGAGAACACCTAACACCCCACTCATCTGCAACAATAACTTGCTGAGAAAAGCCACAATCCTCCAGTTCCACATGGCACAGAGGGAGGCTGGTACGGTGAACGAGTTTCTCCAGTTTATCTAGTGGGGCCACAGCAAAAATAGAGCCAAACCAGGACAACCAGACTGGATGGGGACAGGGCAGAAGTCTGGTGACAGGTTTCAACTAAGCTCTGCCAGCCCCAGCCAGCCAGAACATGGCAGGTTCCTTGCTGAGGAAGAGGGGTAGGTACCAGGGAAGCAGGTGACAACCTGCCCAAGTAGACTCTGATTCCTATCCCTCCTCCCCTTCCACTTTAGCTACTTTGCATTAAAAGCTAAAGTCCTGCCCAAGCAAAGAAACTGCTGTGATAAAGAGCATCAGAAGGAGGGATTGCTGTGTGAATCCCCTAGGTGGGCAATTCCCTCTCCCATCAGTATAGGCCTAGTACCTCCAACCAAACAGAAGGTAGAGCTTCGACGCACTGGTCAAGCCCACCACGGTTTGACTCGGTTAATTTTGAATCTTTTCCTCCCCTCTGAAGAGCGAGACCTTACCTACGCAGGACTGAGTCTGGGTATGTGGCCGGCTGGCCATGCATGCTGCAGCTGGGCGATCACTGTGATTCTCAGTGTGATCTGGGCCTGCGACACTTCCAGCCCGTCCTCTCCGCTTCTCTGTGCTGTTGCTCTGGCTCCTGGTGCCTTCTCACTGTGGGTCTTACTCTCAAGTCACTCTCTGATTCAAAGGTGAACCTCCAATCAAATGCTTCCCTAATGAAAGACCTAATCACTCTATACCGCATGCGTGCATTCAGAGAGCCTGTCTGAGATCTTCTGTTGGCCATGGTGGAAAGCCATTGCCTGAAAACATGCCTGAGCCCAATGTGGAGGTTGGGTGACTGGCTAGGCGACCTTGGGGATGGGCCCCTGGTTGTTTTGGACTATTTAGGACTGTGCAATGGAACTTGGAGGGGTAACCCTGATAAAGAGACATCCCAATGGGCCTTAAATCCAGCAAGCAAAATGGAGTAAGTTCTTATTCTGTAGCCCAGGGTTTCTCAAAGTGTGGTACATGGACCACGTACATCAGCATCAGCTAGAAGTGTTTGGTAAAAATGCAGATTCCTGGGCTCCACTCCAGATTGAATGTCTCTGAGGGTTGGACTCAAAAGAAGTCTACATTTTAAACAAGCTCTTCAGATGATCCTGGTGCAAGTTTGAGAACCCCTGCTGGGGAATGACCACAGCTTGCAAATGGCCCCCTCTAAATACTCCAGCCAGTCCTGCTAAGCCCAAGGCCAGAGCCTGAGAACAGAGGTGGGGAAATTGCACCTTCCCGTGGATGATTATGCAGCTCTCGTTTGACATCACATGAGATGTGCACTGTGGGGAGAGATCAAGCGGAGGGAGGGATGTCATGTGTGTCCACTGTCTCTCCACCAGGAATCATTCTCTCCGTGGCCCTGGCTGGCGCTCTTGGCATCTGCATTGTCCTGGCAGTATCCATCTGGCTTTTCAGCAGGAAGAAGAGGTGAGCTGGCTTTGCTTTGAAGTAGGAGTGGGTGGCTTATGTGCCCATGAGGATTAACCTGTCTGGGAAGGCAGCCTGTGCAACGAAGAGGCCCTATCCCTGTACTAACACTTATCCTAGGAGTGCTGGCTCCCGGCCACCACTGGCTCAGGCCTTCTTTGCATGAGATGCTGGTCGTTCAAGAGTCACTGTGCTTAGAGCTGGAGGTATGTGTGCCAGCCTTGCTGCCATTCCTAAAACCTTGGACAACTCTATTGATTTGGGGGTGCGGGGGGAGGAGGGGCGGGGAGGGTCCCATTTGCCTAAATATAAGCAGCAAGGCTGTCTTTCAAGATCTTTACATCTGGTTTTTAATATATATATAATTGAATTTATTGGGGTGACATAGGTTAATAAAATTATATTGGTTTCAGATGTACAGTTCTACAACACATCATCTGTATATCGTAGTGTGTGTTCACCCCCACACCCTAGTCTCCTTCCCTCACCATTTATCCCCCCTATGCCCTCTTCTTCCTGCCCAACCCCCCTTCCCTCTGGTATGGTAGCCACCATCCTGTTGTCTGTGTCTATGGTTTTTTATTTTTTTGCTTAATCCCTTCACCTTTTTCACCCAGCCCTCCCCCAACTTCCCCAACAGCTGTCAGTCTGTTCTCTGTATCTGTGACTCTGTATCTATTTTGTTTATTTTGTTCCTTAGGTTCCACATGTAAGTGAAATCATATGGTATTTGTCTGTTACGAATTCAAAGAGGAAAGTGAAGGAAGACTTGGTTTTTCACTCGCATTAGCCATAATGCCCTTTGCTCATGTCTTTATGGTGATGTTGATTTTTTCCTAAAGCCTAATGTATTTTTCCTGGTATGAGAAAAAAGGTGCCAGGAACCCCGCTATGGAATCAAGGGTCTGAAGCAGGGGCGGTAATGAGACCTTCAAAGTGCAGGCCTCGTATTGTCGGGTGTTAAAAAAGAACAGTTGGACAATGAACAGGTTCCACTTTGGTTAATGCTTTATTTGCAGCCATTTCCTCCTAAAACCAACAGAAAAGGTCCCCAAGAGAGGAATCTGACCCCTAAAACCTGCCTCATTCCATAGCTTGAGTCAGGCTGTGCTCTGCCCCTCTCTCCTCCTTGACTAATAAAACTCACGTGTTCTTGTTCCAGTAGCAAAAAAGGTGGCACCAATAAAGGAGTCATTTACAAACCGGCCATCAGGAAGGAGACCGAGGCCCACGCCTAGGCCCCGGCACTCCAGGAACATCAGAGGAAGACTACTTTGGACGCTACACACTGTGGCTCCCTGGACACTTGAAATAACTGAGGGCTCGATGGAGCTCAACCCGCAAACACCCCAGACCTTTGGAGACCTCTAGCTGGGTGACCCACCATTCTGATGCTACGGCCACTCCCAGTGCGATCGAGGGTAGGAAGAGCTCGCCAAGGAGGCAGGAACTCTGAGCTGTCTGCTTCATCTGTGTGAGACCAGTAAGAGGTCTGGAGTCTGGGGACACAAACCATGTCGCCTGGTGGGGGCTGTTATTGATTGAAAAACACTTCTCCAGGGGTTCACTCAAGTGTGGTTTCCAATGCCCTGGAAATTCTGCTCCTTGTCCAAGCTTTCAAACCAGAATGTACACCCCCTCTTCGGTTTTCCTTTTGAGACCTGAGTCTGTTTTCTCAGGGAAGGCTATTTTTTCTTCCTCTGATTTCCTTCTGCTGTGATAGAACCTTTAGTCTGACCTTGTAACTTGGAGAGTTGGGGGTGAAATGGGAAGCATTGATACAGGAAGGGTCAAGGCATCTGAGACAAAAAGAAAACAAGAGATATTCTTAGAAAGATAGTAGAGGCATCTTCAAATTCCTGTCCTTTGGCTCTGACTAGACAGTAGAGAGAGAATGGAAGACACGTAGGATCTGGAAGAGTCTCAGAAGCTGTAAGACAGACTGTTAAGCCCAAGCCCAACCTCCTGTCAGGGGGGCAGTTACGGTTTATACTCTATAGATTTTATCAATAATTAGGCTATTCCTTGAAAATGTGCTGCTGCTTTCTCTCTGCTAGAGCAGATGTGAGTTCTGAGAATCTAGAGAAAATAGGCAGAAGCAAAGTGATTGAAGAGCTTTGTCTCTTTCGCCCAAATTTAATTTCTGCTACCTTTGTGGGGTCCCTACTATCAACCTGGAATTGGGACTTACCTACCTCTCTGACACTGAGGATGTCGAGCCATGGCTCAGTTAAAACATATTTTCAAGGTCTAACTGCAGGGAGTTATCTGAGCTGGGACTGGCAGTGTGGTATTTAGGGACCAAACTAAAGGAATGTTACAAAGATCCCTTCTGGTCTTCCCCCAAGTCCCAAAGACAGTTTCTGAGAAGACCCAACTCCTTCCCCATCCCCTTTGATGGAAGAGCTCCTTGGAGATCAGTGAGTTCCAGGACCCAGGAGGAGCCTCCACCCCCAACCTCTCCAGGTCAGCACCTCCGGGTTCACAGAGCTTTGACTCCCAGTCTCATTCTGACAGCATGGAATGTCCTCTGGAAGCACAGATTTCTTCATATCCCCTCTACCTTCTGCTCCTCCCTCTGACTCTGACAAGTCTTCGCCTTTCTCTACTGTCACAGCTCTTCATAGTGATGCAAGCCCCATGTCTCTGTAGCTTGTTTGCTAGGCAGAGTTGCAAATGACCTGGTGGAGACTTGGAAATGTGGGTGTTTGCAAGGCTTCTGACTGGGGCCTGGGGAATCTGATCCTGCCTTTAGCTCACCTGATGCTGATCAAATGGCAGCAGGGACAGCCCAGTGACTGCGGGATATGAACTAGGTGATGCTTTCTCGGCCTCGGCCCAACGCTGCCAGTCAGAAGTCAACATGAACCACCCAGAGCTGTGGGGCTGACTCAGAAAGCTCTCTACACCTTTGGTGGACAAATTTCGTGAGAGAACAGAGAACACTACCTGGCACAGTGCTTTCATAAAAAAAGATTTTCTAGGCAGTGAAACAGTGGATTGTTCTTGCCCTCTCCCCCTCACACAGCCCAGGCTCTCGTTCCTTAGCCCTCGTGGCTGAGACGAAACAAAGCCAGGGAAGCAAACAGAAGGCTCCAAGAATCAATATTCGACTTCCCTGCAGAAGTGGGAAACCTTTTCTCAGGTTTTCACTCATTCCACGGACACCAGTTGCCCCTAAAGGAAACCAGTGCCTTGGTTTGGTTTGGTTTCTTTAGTATCATCTGGTAAAAATAGTAGAAACCTATACCTGTTTCCTTAATAGACACTCGGGATTTTGCTGCATTGACTAGTACTCACATTTCAAGTTCAGACCTTAAATTGTCTCCCCATTTCACTAAGCTCTCTGAGGGCCTCCTGCGGGCCTTGGGGTCTGCAGCACCCCTCTGTCCCTGTGCCTTGGATGGACCACCAGTCACTGTGATGAAGGTCCGTTTAGCACTTCTGAATTTATTGTAAGAATGATTGTAATGAAGACACACTGTAAATATGAGAAATTTTAAATAAAAAGTTTTTCACAGGAGACTGAGTTTTTTGAGCTGAGGTTAAAGCACTAGTCTGGGCAGGGCACTGTGCAGTTCCCTGTCAGTGGTGATAAGGAACCAGTCAGAATGAACAGTAATGTCGTTCGCATCCAGGTCTTAGAACCTGGCTCCAAAGGCAAACACACCAAAGCACTTAATCACTTTACTGCAGATGGAGGCCTGAGATACGTGCAGCCCACGGTCACACAGCCGCATGCTTAGTGGAGCCGAGAAGTCTAGAGTGATCGGCAAAAGGGCCTTGAAAAATAAGTCAGATTTAAACAGATGTGTGGAAAAGAGGAAGGTGTTCTTAACCAAAGTACCATAAACACAGGAAACGGGTCTATGTCCCTTAACTTTAGGTATTGTACCTAGTAGGTTGGTAGCCTCTCTTGGTTGCCTGTTACCTTATTTTGGATCTTTTTTGTAAAACGTGCTATCACCCTCCCTATCATCTTTTGTCCAACTCCAGATTTCAAATTCTGGTTTGCTAGCGGAGCCAGTCCCCTAAAGGCTACAAGTGCGACCATCATTATTTACTTGAGTTATCTAGAAAAGCTTCTGGTGTTCACCTTAGTTGCCCCAGGTGGAGATATGTACAACAGAAGTCATCTCCCTTCTCTACCCACATCCTTTCCCCCCATTCTCTGGACTCGAGATTCCCTTGCAGCGAGGCTCAGGTAGTGTGGCAGCCAGAGTCATGGGCTGCCAAGGAGACTCGAGTCCTCCTCAGCTTGGCCATTACCTTCTCATTGAAACCCAGCTAAAAGGACAATTTAGGTGCACAGCCCAGCAGAAATACAATAAAATAGAATGTAAGACCTGTGAGATTTTAAAGTTCTAGGACCACACCAAAAAAAAAAAAAAAAGAAGAAGAAACTAGGGACATTAATTTTAATATGTTTTAGTAACCAAATAGATCCAAAATACTATAATTTCAACATGTAATCAGTATTTTGATATGAAATATTTTCATTTGTTTTTTTCACAGTAAGTCTGAAATCTGGTGTGTATTTTACACTGCTAGCACATCTCAATTCAGATGCTAAATTTTCACTAAAAATATTTGATCTATGTTTAGACTTCATAAAATTTAGAGTTGAAAAGCAGATTCACATACTTGCTCTAAACACACTCAAAAATTTTCCAAACAACTGAATCAATTATCAGCTTTTAAATTTAGACTTGTTAAAATAAAATTAAAATAAAATAAAATAAAAAACTGAGTTTCTCAGTTTCACTAACTACACTCCAAGTGCTCAGTAGCCACCTGTGGCCTGGGCCACCACAGCCACTGTGCAATATGGAACCCTAACCTTTTCCTTTGACACAGCCTTTGAGACGGTTAAACCTAGAGGACTTCCACACAAAAATAAACCCTTGCAGAAAGCTTTGGGAGGGGAGGGTGGGGCAATGGGAGATAGAGGATAGGGGAATCCAGGGAGGTGGATGCGGATGGCAGTAGATAAGAGAGCAAATGGAAAATCAGGCCAAGGCAGAAAATCAGGCCAAGGCGAACAGACCAGCTGACCTTAGACCAGCTACCGGTCCCCTCCCACCTCTTTACCTGGCTCAGGAAGGTGAACTCCCCCAGCCCTCCCGGCCCTGGCCACACCCCTTGGCCATGCCCTGGGGTCCAGACGCTCAGCAGTGACTCCAATCTGGGGCATCCAGTGCCTTGTGGGGAGCTTGGACTGTAGACACAAGGTCACCTGGTTAACTGCAGGGGACCTCGATGATGCAGGACCCTGGCTAAGTACTAACTGCAACCAGGTCCAACCCCCATCTCAGAGTCTTAACAAAGTGTCTCCACTCTTCTGGAGCCAAAAAGCCCAAGGGGATGAGCATCTGAAACCTGAGACTTTTGAATTGTTAGCCGTGCCTCAGTTAGAACAAGTTGCCTTCCTTCCTTTGAGGTGTGGGGAGAAGTCTTAAGACCCACTTATAAGAGGAAACCAGACCTCGGGGCCACCGGCAGGGAAGCAGAGGTGTCACCTGTGCAGTGGGCATCGTTCTGGCATCACCACCCATGTCCACATTGGAAACGCCTGGAAGGGATGCACGGCCCCGGGTGTGCGGGGGGTGTGGGGGAGGTGTGACGGCGCCACATGGGAGGATCCCCATGCCTCTCCTGTGCCTTCTCATTATTGAATGACTGGGCAGAGATAAGAGCCAAAGTACTCTGTGGTATGGAATTCCGCATAAAAATTTACTGCAACCAGGTCAGCACATCATTATGACAGTAGGTGACCCAGGCATTCAGTATTGCCTCCAACTTACACACCTTCGACTGTTTCAATGCACCTTCACTCCAGCGACCCAGGGGAAGAGGGAGCACTGCCCTTATCTTATAAGTGGGAAACTAATCAAGGGGCTCTGGCTCTGGGCTAAGTCAAAATCACAAGGCTCCTGCAGTGGTAGGATCTTCAGTGACAATACGGGGTCGACTTCTGCAGCTCCACTGACATGGAAACACCTTCCTGTCATAGAAGTTACTCAATCACGCCGTAACCTCATAAAACCCCACAAGCTACAGGCACTAAAGAATCTGTGCCAAAGATTTCTGGAAAGTCAACAACCTCTTCCTCTCTCCGATCTGATGGGTAACATTACACCCTGGCCTCTGCTCAGGAAAGTCTGACCAATGAGTGACAACTGCAGGTTAAGCAAAGGAGTCAGCTCAGCTCCTGGGAGGTTACTCTTCCCTCTTAATTCAGCACAAATTCCCAAGGACAGTCACTGAACTTTCTCTTTTCCTAGGGCTGGACTGGAGAGAAGGAACACACACACACACACAGTATAATTCCACTTGTATAAAATTCCAAAATATGCCAACTAGGCTACAGTGACAGGAAGCAGATCGGCGCATGCCTGGGGATGAGGTGGGGGGCGGTGGGGGAGGCAGGGGTTGCAAAGGGGTGTGAGAAATTGTTGAGGTGAGGATGCGTTTATTATCTTGATGGTTTCTCCACATATGTCAAAACTGTTCAAATTTTACACTTTAAATATGTGCCATGTATCTTATATCAACGATACCTCAATAAAGCTGCAAAGAAAAAAAAAAGTAAAAAAGCAACCCCCCACACAGCCAAATGACGCCCTGCCCATCCTGGCATTTCCATTCAGAGCTTTTCCTCCTGGTCTGCCTAGAACGAGACACTGCCGGGGGGAGGCCAGGAAGGAGCGTGACCTCCATTCACCTTGCTGGATATGACCTCTCAGTACTCTAAGTCAAAGTCATTATTTCTGCCTGAGTTCACTCATTTCAAATATTAACTTTTAATTACCTGCAATGAAGACAACACACACAGGGCCTGTGGGTTCAAGGGCAGGCTGAGACCTCTACAGCAAGTCCGTGTTGGTGACGGCAGAGTGAACTGGCTTCTCAGGAAGGAGCAGACTCTGCTGGTGAGGCAGGTAACGGTAGCCAGTTAGTTCATTGCTGAACTAGTTTTCCAAGCTACCTAGACACCTACCAACAGCTCTCATGCGTCTTAGTTAGTTCCTCTCCTTCCCAACTACCCAACACATGAGCACCTGAAAATCTTTCCTGAACATGGTACATCCTTCCTGTGGAGATGCATGGTGAGGAGTGTGTGGTCCCCTCCCAGCCACTGGGCGAAATATGCAATAATCCCCTGTGATTCTGTGATATACTAAGAAATATATATTTGGTTCCCAATTCCTGGCACAGAGCTCCTAAATATTATTCATAATAAGCCCCTAAAGCCATACCTAAGTTCATGCTAAAGAAGTGATGCTTGTAT